GTCAAACCCACAACATAGTGAAACCCTGTCAAAAAAAAAGAAAAAAAAAAAAACCAACCCCACAAAACCCTGCTCTTGAAGCCAGGCATGGTGGCACACAGCTATGTAATCCCAGCACTCTGGAGGCTGAGACAGGAGGATCGCTTTGAGTTGAAGGCCAGCTTGGGCAAAATAGCGAGTGCAAGGTCAGCCTGAACTTCACAGTGATGCCCTGTCTCATAAAAACAAAACACAAAAGGGCCAGGGATTAAGCTCAGTGGCACTGAGCCTGCCTTGAAAGTGCAAGGTCCTGAGTTCAATCCCTGGTACCAAAAAAATTAAAAAACTAAATTAAATTAAAGCAAAAACAAAGGAAAAAAACTGCGTCTGGATAGTAAAGATTAATCGACCGGGGCCCAAAGTGACCAATAACTGTGCAGTTTTTCAAAAGTACGACATGTCTTTGGCTTATGTACAGAGGACTCAGGGTGCTCTCTGGGGCTGGCTGTTTCTGCTCCCCTCTGCCCAGCCTCGGTATTGTGCGCTAGCTGGCTTTGCCGCACCAGGAAGAAACCCTACTTCCCACCTGGATAATGTGAGGGGAGAGAAGGGCACATCTGCGCGTCACCTGGAAAGAGCCAGGGATGAAGGCCAAACACAACAGGTCTGAACAGAAAGCCAAAGGACCACGAGGCTAAGGGGATGCTCCACCCGCAGGGAATGAGAGTCCTCACAGGACACAGCGACAAGCACAAGCCAGGGACACAACCAAAGCAACAAGTATTTCCGGAGTCCGACTCACCTACGGGACTCTGAGTCTCTCGACTTCCGAGGCTCTTTGACTTTATCAAAGGACACAACAGACCGCTTCTCTCTGCTGGCTGATTTGCGATCCTGGCTTTTGGAGGCCTAGTTCATCAAAGAACACAGAAAAGTTCAAGTGGAAACGACAATGAACACAACAGGTGTGTCCACCTCGCGTCAAACGTGAGGTCGGACGCGATGATGACTCCTCCCGTGTGGGTGTGTGGTGTGGCCCTGACGACTGAACCCAGGACCTCTGCACTGAGTGACATGCAACTTCACAACTCCTTAAAGGTTTTTTTTGCTGAGATCACAGATGTGTGCCACCATGCCCGGTTTACAGGATGATTAATTTAATGAAACAATTGGAGAATGAAAGGTTCTTTCTTCGAAGAAACCATGTATCCCAGTGTGGCGCGCCTTCCTGTAATCTTAGCTCTAGGAGGCTGAGTCAGGAACATTACAAGTTTGAGCCAAACCTTGACAAATCAGCCAGATCCTGTCTCAAAAAATAAGGGCTATGGATGTAGCTCAGTGAGAAGGAATCAACCACAGTTCTATACTGAGCTCCATCCATGCTCTTTTTGAGTTGCATTTGTTCAAGGCTGGGATGAGACTTTTGATGCTACTTGGGATCCCTGTACTGCTGCGCCTGGCTTGTCTGTTCCTATACATGTATGAACTGCATCCTTGTCCCCAGCCCCTCTGAGACAGTCCAGATGGTCTTGAACTCCAGGCTTAAGTGATCCTCCTGTATGAACCTCCTGGGTAGCGGGGACAACAGGCATATGTCATCCTATCTTGTTTCTTTTTGAAGTTTAAGGTATCTATAGTTTTGTAAAAGTCAAGAGCTTTTCTCTGATTCAGCTTAAAGATCCCCTAAAAATACACACAGGCACACACATAAAATAAGCTAAACATTCCAGGAAACTAACACTCACTCTTTCTTTGGATCCAGACGTCTTCACACTGATAACAGGCACACCCTTCGATTTATCCATTACCACAATCCGCTCAGTGCCTCGGCTTCCTACAGGAAGAAAGGAGAAGGCGAGACAGGCCTTGGGATGAGAACGCACTTTCAAAGCTGTGCAGAGGGAACTGGTTTTGTGCTGACAGCTGATGAGAACAAAGTAACACGCCACGCTGGCTGGCGACAGGAAACCAGACAGCCCTCCTGTGCGGGGGGATGCTCAGCTTACCTGATTTTGTGGCTCGGGATCGCTCCGAGGAGCCCGGTTTCTCATCTGGGTCTTTACTCTTTTCTCCACCTCCATCTTCACCCTTTTTGCCATCGTCTTTTCTGTCAGATTTATCGTCCCTCTTGAGGTTCGAAGATCTGTGCCAGCAATGGATCCCCAAGTGTGTCAGGGCAGGCAGGGATTTGGGCAGAGACCCGTCCCATCTAGACCCTCAGCATGAGCACCAAGTGAAAGAGTAAGGAAGTCACCTGCCACTGCCAGGGGCGCAACATTCCAACCGAAGCAAAGGAGACCGACAGCCTCCCAGCCCACGCACAGGTAACAAAGGCCCCTCACCAGGAAGGAAGTACCTGTCACTAGTGCCTGACTTCTCCTTCTTGCCCTCGCTGTCCCTCTTGTCAGAGGTTTTCTTGCTGGCCGGCTCGTTTTTCGCCTAAAGGGGAGAGTCCAGTGCGAGTGCCACCTCCTGCCCCCGCCCAGCCGCCCCTGGGAGCCCCAGCACTCACTTTCTCCACAGAGATCATCTTCCCATGCAGCTCCGTCTTGTGCAGGTGGTTGATACATTTCGTTGCTTCTTCCGCTGTGGACATGGTGACAAAGCCATAACAGCGAGCTCCAGGACTCCGGGCATTTGTCACAACCTTGGCCCCCACCACCTAAAGGAGCAGCACAAACTGCTAAACTTGAGGTGCAGAGAGGGCTTCGGAGCCATTACCGCTGGCACAGGGCATCGTGGGGGGAGCACAGGCAGAGCGTCAGCCTGGGAGCAGACACTCCTGTCTCATTGTGGCCCCTCCAGCTTCAGTCCCTACTCTAGGCTCCCCCAGGGGACTGAGGGGCAGAGGAAAGCGACACAACACCAAGTTGTGCCCGCTCCCGGCAGGTGCTGCACAGGTCGGAAACGCGACACCCCACCGTACCATGTGAGCAGCATGTGCCCAGGCAGGCCAACCCCTGGAGAGCCACACCCCACACGGGCTCCCGACACTACAGCCACGTCCTCCACGTGCTGCTTGCTTCTCTCAACAGCTCTGGCGGGCTCAAGTGATACCCGCCTTTCACGGCAAGAAGACACCATGGCTCAGAACACATTCATGATGCCACCCGGAATCTCAGGCCTACAGGAGGCTGCCATGCACTCCAAGCCCAGCAGGCCCCAGTCAAGCCCTTTCTTCCACCAGCACTGCCCTCCTGGGGCCACTGTCCATGTATGGGGAGCGGTGCACCCAGCCCTGCTCTCCTCTGAGGAGTGGGCAGCTGTCATACAGCCACGTCACACCGAGGAGTATGGGTGTGCATGTGCACGTGTGCGCGCACGCTCTGTAAGACTGAACTCAAGGCCTTTGTACTGAACTACACCTCAACCCTTCATCCTCACAGAGTCTGAGTTGCCCAGGCTGGTCTTCAATGTGCAATCCTCCTGCCTCATTCATCTCCAGCGTAGCTGGAACAACAGGCGTGCAGCACTGTGCCCAGCTAGTTCCCCTTCTGGCAGCCCTTGCACATAAATAATCAGCGTGTGTACTGCCAGTACTCTCTCGTGACACACAAACCCCTCAGTAGGGCTCAGGGCCTGTGCTAACGTTCACTTCTGCTCTGCTGAAACTGCCCTGATAGACGAGTTCAGAACGCAGAAGTGAGACCAGGGAGCAAAAGGGATCGAGGTGGGACTGTGACAAAGTGAGTTACAACAAAGGCCTTAACCCACAGGGGACAGCAGTGGCACCTGGGCTGGGGGAGGCAGGTGCACAGGTGCAGGAGGCACCATCTGCCTCTACTGGGGCCCAGAAGCAGCCACGCCCACAGGCAGGGCCACCTTGGCCTCTGCTCTTCAGCGCTACAATTAATTCAGCATCGGTGGCTCTTCTCCGGTCACCACTGCCTCTCACAGGCTGCCCTGCTCTTGCTGCCAGCCAGCAGATCGCGTGTGTCAAGGGGGAGCAGAGCAACATTCACAGGCCAGGGGGTGGGTGGGTGGAGCACAGCCCACTGGAGGGAAGCCCCAAGGCTACCGAGCACTGCCGAGGGCAGGCTGCATGACACGGCTTAGTGATCCCTCCTGCTCCAAGGGCCCTGGCTCTTACCTTTCCATACTTGCTGAAAAGAGTCTTCAAATCTGTAGCTCTGGTCGTAGAAGAAAGTCCACTAACCCAGAAATTTCTACTACAACTGCTACGACCTATTTCAAAAGAAAGTTCTGATCAAAAGCACAACACACAAAAAAGCACAAGGTCCTGAGTTCTTAAGTTGCTTCAAACCAAACACAGTCCCTACAAAAAGCCAGCTGAGTGGGCCGGGGATTTAGCTCACTGGTTCCACCACATGCTTCACAAACAACCAGCTGGGTTGGTGGCTGGGCCTGCGGCGCTCCCTGTCCACTGCCTGTCATTTCAATGCGGAGCGAGGGTGGGGCCACCGACGAGGCTTCCTTACAAAGTGACCCAATGACTGCCTGGACCACACATTAAGGTGGCTTTTGCTTCTGCGTGTGCGGGTGTGGCTGGAGACTGAACCCACCAGGGCCTCACACATCAGGCAAGTGCTCACCACTGAGTCTCAGCCAGCGGTTGCTCTTTCACAGGAAGCTGCCAATGCCAGTGTGAAGATGCTCCTGTCACCGTTTCTAGTTGCTTCTATTCCGCACTTACAGCTTTTTACAAAGAGTCCAGCATAACCTGGGTCTAATATAACTACTTATATTAGAGGGTTAGAGGATCAAGGAACTCAGAATACTAGAAAAAGCTAGGGTCTGCATCAGGCACAGCATCAGCCCTTAGGAACTAGTCTGCTGCTACAATCCAGGACCTGTGGAGCCAACAGCAGAGAGTGGGAAAGACTTTCTGAAAGGCTCAGGTAGTCCCCACTGGGAAACACTAGACATGGTGAGCTAGTAATAAATATTCGGCCGCTGCCTTGACCCAACATACTTCAAAAGGGACTGGGCTTGCTGGGCAACCTACCCTTTTCCTCTCGGGAAAGCCTTTTACAGTCCGAGCCATCTTCAACAGAACTAGAGACAAAAGATAGTGTCACTCCAGGAGGCAGCAGCAGTGAGAAACAAACTTAAAATTGTAAGATACCTGCTGAGGTTGCATACCTACCCGAAATTTAGTTCTGAAAAAATGATACCCCGACAAACATGTTTTGGAAATCTGACCTAACCATAAGATTTCAGACCCACAGGAGTTAATTAATTCTGCTGGGCTAAAGATAATTAGAAAGAATTAAAGAAAACAACCATGATAGGTTGAGAAAAGAAAAAAGATCATGTAATCAGTGTAAAATAAACAAAGAGAAATAAAACATTGTTTGGAAGTAAAACTACAATTTCAGCAGTCTGGCTGGCCAATTGCAGAAAAACAGCTTATGTGTGTCATAAATGACCAATGAAAAGGAGATAGCGTCTGGTCTAAAACTGAGAAACAACAAACCTCATTTTCTGATCAGCGCCCTCACTGGTTGAGGACTCTTTAGGAGCCGGAGGGACTTCATTACAAGCGTCAAACTCAAACTTCTTCACGTCTTCCTTGCTATCTCGGGGCTCCGGGCTCGGGGCTTCCGTGGGCGCTTCCGCCAGCTCCTGGCTAGAGGCCTCCGGCAGCTCGGAGGCCGCGCTACTCTGCTCAACTGGCTTCTCTAGCCCTACAGGCTCACAGTCCGTCCTCGCGCCTTCGCCTGTCTGCTCCACGGGCTCCCTTTTCACTACCGCTAACAGGGTGTCTGCCTCGCTCCACTGAGCGCGTGTTGACTCGCTGGCCAAATCTAAATCTCCCTCCTCCTCCTCCTCTTCCTCTTCCTCCTCTTCCTCCTGCTCTTCCTCCTCTTCCTCTTCCGGGTGGGCGCTGCCAAAAAGGTCCTCTTCCTCCGCCAGCTTCCTGTCTGGCCCCACGCTACTTGTATCCTGTGCAAATGGCTGCTCCAGCTCGGAACCTTCTTCTTTTACTGGCTCAGATTTACAAGTTTCCCCCAAAATGTCGAGTATTTTCTCATTTTCTACGGATTTAACAGGAATAGAATGGCACAAGGTTTAATTACCAGGGAAATAAAGCAATCACAAATGTGGAACTGGCACGGCTGCCACACTAACACGAAGAGCACCGCTAGCTACACAGAGATTGGAAAACCCGCGGGTACACACAGTTACACTGTACACTACCTGCGCTCCGACCACTGCTACGCCAGCCTCTAGCTACAGGGGAGAGAAAAGCATCCCAGAGATTTAACCCCCAAAACCTTCTGGCTGATTCTTGAGTCTTCATTCTGTTGCCGTGTACATGACTCTTCCAAATTTAGCTTCTGAAGTCCGGTTGCTTAACTGAATGACTGTATCACCATTCACTGAACAGCTTAGGTTCCAAATTTCTTTGCATTTCGTTTAACAGATAGTCCGACATGAATACCAGACTCTTCTGTGGGTTTGGAGACATTTGCAGTCCAGCAGGGAACATGTTTTACATGGTGTTCTCATTAGCAGCTCTTTGCTCTTCCAGAATCCATCATGTCCGAAGGTTTCATGGTCTCCCTACCACTGCCTGCACTGCCTACACCAAATACCACACAGTCAAGGTACTGCCTGATATCACAAGATCTGTTTCGTGGGGTGCAGGGCACGAGCTCTAGAGAGCACGCCCACGCTTTCCACCATGTTTAAATGCGTTTCTGTTTAAAAGGCCTAAGCCTGTTTCGTCTCACCAATATATTTTGTAACATGAAAGGTTCGCCACTTTCACAGATCTGGTGATATGGCTGGGTTTCCAATCTCTATGATCCTGGTTATGTTCTGAACTGCAAACCTTTAGAACAACGTACACTACAGTACGGTAACTTTTTAAAATTAAAGACTTTAAATTAGAGAAGGTGGAAAACTAGGATGGTTCCAAACCCCCGCTGCTAAGTTTTTCATTGAACAGTACCTGGCTCCAGAGATGGCTCTTCAATCTCCTGCAAGAAAAGACAGAAATAAGACTGTGCCAGGCAGAGGAAACCTCAGCTTCATCACAACTGTGGCTCTCCCGTGCAAGGAGGGAGACTTCACAAGAGACCAGAAGCTCACCCCATGGAAAGGTGCAGGACCCACGGCCTCGGCCCCACATGCTGGTCTCCTCCCAAAGGGACCTAGTTCCTCGTCTGGCTCTCGCAGTGCCTGGGAAGGTCTTGGCTGTCACAGGGAGGGGCAGTCCCCTGCCTGCCTGTCCTTGTAGATGACAGGCATCTGTCTCTAAAGCTAGGCCAGCAGTGCTGTCAGCTTGCTGCCAAGTGCCTCCCTGAATGCCTGCCACACTCCTGTAATCACCCCGTCTCTGCAAACCCAGGGCTAACTCTGAAAATTCTGAACACTGTGGACAGCAGGCACAGGTGGTTTCGTGCCTGTTCGTACTTTACCTCGTGGCACCAGGCCTACCCCAGGGCAGCTAACGCTCTAGAACATCCCCCATCCTCCTCCACCCCATTCCCATCCCCTTTGTGTGCCTGCTGGGCCACATCCACCTACCATCCTGGTTGTCCCAGGAAGCCCTGTCCCCCCCGCCCTTGAGGCTCGCTCCTGCTTACTAGGCTGCTGATGTGAGTGCCACGCTATGAGAGGGCTCCTCAGATCACTTCCAGCGCCTCATTAAGAATGGTCTCCTCAACAACTGGCTCTGTTAACTCCAACTCCAGCTGATGCCCATGAAAGGTCCAACGTGCCCTGTGCACACAAGGGACCACTGCCTGGAACCCCAGCCAGGTACAGAGCTAAGAACCTCGGTACACATGTGTTCACGTGCTGCTGCACCATCCAACTTTTTCAGGTGAGGACACTGTGACCCAGAGCAACGTTCTCAAAGACACACAGCACATGGGGAAGAGGCTGAAAGCCATGTGACTCCGTCTGTGCCCCTAAACCCTCAAGCCCAATGCTGTGTACCTCACATTTGTACACACTTTTCACATGTGTGCCTTGGTAGCTGACACAGCAGCCCACACAGTAATAATGACTGCGAGTGGCCTGTTCCTTCCATTAGGAACTATGCTGCCATTGTGTGGTGCCCTAGAAAGCCAGCCAATTCTTAGTGGTTTGATTTATCGTCATTCTGCTCCTCTGTCCCATAACATACCCCACACTGGGATTAAGAATACGATTGAGCTGGGGTGTGGTGGTGTCACCCTGTAATGATAGCACTCAGGAAGCTGAGGCAGGATGCCATGAGTTCAAGGCCAGCCTGAACTACAAAGTGAGACCCTGTCTCAAAAAAAAAAAAGACTATGACTAAAGCAAATGATCTCAGCAAACCAATTTCCCCCCTTTACTCCCTTTAGAAAGAAGCAGGCCAGGGATTTAGCTCAGTGGTTCCACCACCCGCCTCAAAAATGCAAGGTCCCGAGTTCAATCCCCAGTGCCAAACAAAACCAAACCATAAAAGCAAGTACAATTGAGTGTACCGGCCCTTACAGAGAAAGCAAATCTACTCCCATCTGCCTCTGGGAGGGCCTACATGTTTGCCATGTTAAAGTGGGCGTCTTTGACCTAGAAAGACACTAGAGAGTGACAAGATCCAGCTCCTTCTCTCCTCTCTGATCAGGAATGGTTGCGTCACTTTGCAGCTGCAGAGACATCAGCTCTGAAGGCCAGCTGACTGCATCCAGTTTCCTTGAGGCTGGAGCTCTGGCTTCCCAACACCTCCCTTGCCCTTGCCCGATGAAGTGAACAGAGAGCTCATCTGAAAGATGACTTCTAATTAAACAACATAGGCGACACATTAAGGGGAAGGAGGGGCAGAGGCTGCCTGTACTTTTATTTCCTCACAACAAAATTTTTCAAAAGCTAAACAGCAACTAGATAGTGTATTCCTAAAATTTATCTCTCTGTTGGCTTGCAAAACTATTAAGAGGAAACTCAAGACTCAAACTCATGAAAATCCTGTTAAATCTCCTCTGATTTGTTTTAAGCATTCTTTTTTTTTTGATACTGGGATTAAATTCAGGACCTTTCTGCTTGTGAGGCAGGCGGTGGTACCTCTGAGCTACATCCCTGGCCCTTGTTTTAAGATTTAGTATTTACACAGATAGTGATGATACTCATGAAAAAAATCACCTGAGGGCCAGGGGTGTAGCTCAGTGGCATAGCACCTGCCTGGCAAGTGCAAGGCCCTGAGTTCAACTGCAAGAAAAAGAAAAAAAAAAAAAAAAAAAAGAGTAAGAATCCTGGGCAGTTTTTCAGAGAAAAGCATTCTAAAGACAGGAACAGAACCTGGCGATTCCACTTGGCTCAGCTGTGGCCCCTGCCTTTTGTGTCCTTTGTGTCGTTCCGGGCAGGGACAGTTACTCTGCAGGGGATGCCATCCGATGCCCCTCCCATTAATAAAGTTATACGCCATATAAGCCGAGCATCCCTCATCTGAAAAGGCCCAAAATCAGGAAAGTTTGGGGAACAGACATGCATGACCTCATACAACAGGTCGCGGCTGAGACACAGGTACACTAAAAACAATGCATCATAAAATGACCTTCAGGTTAACACGTGTAAGGTGTACGTGAAATGTAAATAACTCATGTTCAGACTTGGGTCCTATTCCCAAGGTACCTCATTATGTATGAGTGGATAGTTTAAAATCCGATGAAAACCTGAAAGCCAAAAATACTTCTTGTCCAAAGCATGCAGGATTAAGGGACATTCAATCTGTGATGAGAGTGTCACCAAATACACCCTTTTTAGTCCGCTGTTGCTGAGCCACACTACTTTGAGGGCGCCAGGTAAGCTGGAGTTAAGCCCTTGGCAAGAGGAATTTGACAATGGGGGAGAGCAGAGAGCAAACCCCTGAAGGGCCTGACCAAGTGAACAAACCTCACAGTGACCGCTAGCAAGGACTGTCATGCAGGGTCAGAAGTAGTTTCCAGAAACTGTGGTCTAATCTGTTTCTAAAATTGAGACATATAACAATTTACCTGTAATATAGTGAAGTCAGATGATGAAGTATCTAAATTGTTTATAGTTTCTTTATCATCTACCTGTGAAATAAATAATGAACACATAAACCAACAATAAGGCAACAAAACTCACATCTGTACAATGAAAAATTACCAGGAAAGAAAATCATTTGTAACAAAACAACACTGCAGAGGAGTTAAAACAGCATTACAGAACCAGGCGTGGGAGCACACCCCTGTGATCCTAGCTAACTGGGAAGCTGAGGCAGGAGGCTCACCAAATTTGAGGGCAGCACGGACAACTTTGTGAGACTCTATCTTTATTGGGGGGAGACCCCAAACCAAAACCAACAACCAACAACAACAAAAAAAAAATCGTAAGATTTCAGCAAGAGTAAAGAAATATTATATGCAAATGTCCATTTACAGACATGAAATCCACTGAAGCAGTATAAGCCTGGAGCCGGGAATTTAACTCAGTGGTGCTGCACCTGCCTCACAAGTCCAAGGTTCTGAGTTTGGTCCCCAATAACAACAACAACAACAGAAAACAGCCTGTCTGAGATACTCAGACTGGGCAGGATGCAGACCCTCTGGGTGGGCCAGAGCACTTAGGCTCCTACCAGACACAGTCCAGAACCCTCTGCGATGTGGAGCCTCTGAGCACCACTATGTGCCCAAGGCAGGATGCTACTGATGCAGGACCTTGGCCCTAAAGCACCTTACAGTCCTGCCTCCCAACATCAGCTTCCAAACCAGTGAGCAGGAGCCCAGGTGACCTGTCTACACTTGGGTCTGCAGGGGGAGGAGGACTAGACACACAAGGAGTCTCTTCCAGGGGCGGGGACTCTGCTCCCTAAGGCCAAGGGTCTCCCAGCACAGGACAGGGCTCAGATGCTGTGCCTCAAGAGTCATTCTGGCTGTCTGTAAAGTCCACGATGTCAGTGCGAGTTAGTGGGGACAGTTGTGAGACACGTTTCTTCATCGCCTCCGATTGACTGAAAAAGATGTGCCTATGATCAAAACCTCAAATGGTACAATAAAGTCCCACACACTGAAAGCCCCTCATCCTCCACGTGCAGAAGGAGGCATACGATTCCCCACCTGAGGGTCAGCCTTGGGCCCACAGATCTGCTTTGTATTATTGCCAGTCAGAGTAAATTTCTCAATGACTCCACGGTGTCTGCTTTTAGATGCTAGGCACTGCTCTAGGCCAGAGGAAGCAGTGTAAGCCCTCTTCTGTAAGCGTCACACAATAAGGACTTTAGGCTTTGTAGGAGGGTCTGCCACACACACAAATGTGAGTGCAGCGACTGCCAACAGAGAAAGAAGTGGTGCTGCTCCAAACTTCACCTAGTGCATGCCTAGCTTGGTGACTTCTGCTCTAAAGGTATGATAAATGCCCATCCCTTTGATCCTTGCTAAATATATTATTTTCAAAATTTGGGGCCTAGGGATCTTAATGAACTTGGCCAAGGTTGCACAGCAATTGCCAGATCTTGAGGAAATGCTCTCAACTCTTAAACTACACTGGTCCTATCAAATCTCAAGTATTTAACCACTACTGACAGATACTTAGGTGTTTCCAAGCTCTTGTTACAAAATGTATTGCCAGGTGTGGTGGTGCATGCCTGTAATCCCAGCACTTAGGAGGTTGAAGGAGGAGTACACAGTGAATCCCTGACTCAAAAAAATAAAAGTATTACTTTCTAGTTAGGAAGGAAAAAAGCAACCAATCAGAAATATGCCTACTGCCCCTGACTATGCAAATATTTCTATTCCTTCCTCATTCTAGTGAATAAGAATCCAAAAATAAAAAAGGAACCCATTCCTGTTTAAGTGAGAAAAGCTCTGAAACTGACTCAGAATGCAACTCCCCACTGGAAGATGTTCTGCTGTTCTAACACATGCTGAGGGCCAGCTACAGGAGGACACGCAGGAACTCTCGGAGTGAGGGTGTCAGGTACAGCAGACCCACAGCAGAGAACCTGCACAGATGAGGCCCTCCCTCAGGGCACAGAGCAGGGGTCAGAGACACAACGCCCAGCTTCTCTCTCTCACCCGACAGCACCCAACTTAGTGTAAACGAAGCACAGCACCCAGGCAAGGCGGTGTGTGAGTCAAAGCACATGGACTCTGGAATCAGCCTGGCTTAATTTATACTCTACTACATGCTAGAGGTATCTTTTTTCCTATTCCACAATTCCAACTGGAAAATGAGGACAACAGTATCTTTATCTTGCACTGATGTGAGAGGATTACAAGACATAATGTCTAATGCCTGTTATAATGTGACATGCTTCTAAAAGAAAAAGGCTAAAACTTTAAAACTCACGTCAGGGCTAGAATTAAAGGTTGATTCTTCAGAAAACACCAACTGAAAGGTAATCTTCCAAAGCCAGGCACAGAAGTACTTGCCTTGTAATCCCAGTGATCTGAGAGGTTAATGCGAGAGGATCTTGATTCTTGAGGGTGACTCTGACGATACAGTGAGTCCCCATCTCAAAAGATGATCAACTCCCATCCCAACCTCTTCCTATTTCAGCATTTTCTAAGTACCCATGCCCTACCCACACAGACCATTCCCCAGAGCAGGAAGGGTCGGGACAGCTATCTGCATGGTCCCATGCAGTCACCTGTGTGCCTTCTGAGACCACTTTCAACCCATGCACTTTCAGAATCATCTTCATTTTACATGTGCATGAATTAACTATTATTCTAGTTAGGGGACAGTAAAAGACAACTTCCGGGCACAGGGATTTAGCTCAGTGCTGCTGCCGACTGCCTCGCAAGCACAAGGTCCTGAGTTTGATCCCCAGTAACATTAAAAAAAACAAAAGACAACCTCCATGCCAACTATAAACCATATCATCTCCCACAGTATTTGTGGGTGCCACACTCACTGGTTTCCAGACACTGCCGAGTTACCTACAGCATGTTCTTGAAGCTGATCCGGAAGGTCTTTCATTTCACCCTCAACTAGCTCTCTACTGTCAGACAGGGACTCTGGAAGGTTGTCAGCATCCTCCTCCTCCACACAGTCAGCAACGCTTCCATTATCAATTTCTGCTTCATCCAACACACTGATATCCATCATGTCGATGTCCTGCAAGTTCTCCAAACTGGTCTCAACATCCTCCTGAGACAAAGCAAAAGGAGCCCATCGTGTATGTGACTGCTGCTGGCCACCACCAAGTTCCTCTGCAACGGGTCAGGCCGCACATACCTGTCCATCCCCAGAATTCTCCTCCAGCCCGTTATCCTCCACACCCTCGTCTTCGGGTTTCCGCCCTGAAGAGATAAGCATTGGAGGCATGAGATAGAAACACGGCAGCACCCAGGCCTGGGCAGCCTCATCCCTGCCTCAAGGAGAAGGAAGAGCAGCCACTCGTCTGCTCTTAGCAGCTGGCTGTCAGCGGGCAGTGCTGGAAATGGATCTCAGGGGCGGAGGCCGACCAGATCTGTTTTAAGGCCTGGCCTCCTTGTCAAGTGGCTTTGCTTGGGGAAGAAGAGCATCAGATACCAAAGTGCTGCTTTTCAGTGAGGGAACACACAGAATGCTCCCCACAGAAACAATGACATTAAGCAAAAGATGGAAGTGAAAATCATTCATAATTTTAGCGCTGTGTTAGCTTTCCGGCTATTGCGTATGCACATGGCCTTCAGCACCTGGCTGTGGACACAACGTGTGCTCCTTACAAAATTGGCACTGCAATAACTAGGCATGGGCCTGTTATCCTGGGCTACATGGGAGGCCAAGTCAGGAAAGCGGCAGAGCCCAAGAGCTCAAGGCCAGTCTGGGCAACACATATTCTGTCTCAAAAAGAAAAACAAAGGGCGGGGGTAAGGGGGGTTGCACTATTATTCTACACACATTCTGCTTAATGGGTTTTGACCAGCACTCTTTCAGCATTGCAGACACATCACGAATGATCTAAAAGCCATTTTTAAAATTTAAAAAGAAGCTGGGTGTGGTGGCGCACTCCTGTAATCCCAGCACTTGAGAGGCTGAGGCAGGAGGATCTCTGTGAGTTCAAGACCAGCCTGGGCTACATAGTGAGTTCCAGGTCAGTCTCAACTACATAGTGAGACCCTGTCTCAAAACAAACAAACAAACAAAAAAGAACAAACAAAAAAAAAATCTAAAAAGACAAAAAAAACCCAAACCAAAACAAACAAAAAAACCACCCCACCTTCCACATACCATCAAGCTATCCCAGAGGAAAGTTGCTCCAATTTACATAGTTCTAACACAAGGAATTAAAAGTCCCAATCTTTCTGCATCTTTGCCAGGCCAAAAAGGAATTTTTCTTTTAACTCCAATTTATCTGACTACTGCTTTGATTGAATTTTTGTCGCTGATCATGTGTTCCTGTAAAAAATGCTTTTATTCCCACTGCCCATGTAAAAACTTTTGGCCCACCTCTACGGCCTCAAGCATGTCAAAGAAGTGATCTACCACAAACCGTCTACTGCATAAAAAAATTGTAATGTTTAAGAAAGTTTAAAACAAAACAAATCCCATGGTGGGCTGGGGGATGCAGCTCAATGGCAGAGCACTTGCCCAGGGTTCTATCCTCAGTAACGGGAAAAAAATTTCCTCCTAACATGTAAGTATATATTGTGTGGTATTTCCATATACTAATTCTATTTCTATAGCAGAGTTATTTTATTTACAAACCCAGAGGACTATAATACCAATACATTATGTACAAATGGCCTTGGTCAGTTGGTCATCCATTCTTGTTTTATGATTTCTTTTTTGTGGGGGGACGGACCAGGGATCCAACTCAGGACCTTGTGCTTGCCTGATAGGTGGCAGTACCACCGAGCCAAATCCCTGGTCCATTTCATGATTTCTTTGGCAAAAAATGCTGAGCTTCAAAAAAACTTCTGGAACTCAACTTACTGGTCTTTGTAAACACGGCTGGAAGATGTACCAGGAGCATTTTTACCAGATAATTATATTTGATGAAGCTGCTATAATTCCACAATATATACACTGCCTTTGTCCAGCTGTGTCCTGGTTACTAGGAAAACTCTAAGGCAATTACCTCAAACCTGCCATCCATCTCTCCCTCAAGAAAGGCAGGGGCAGAATCACTCTTATTTTTTTCGCAGCAGCACTGGGGGTGTAACCCAGGCCCTTGAGCATGCTAGCTGCATTCTACTATTGAATTGCACCCTGGCCCTTAGAGCCAGTCTTCTTCATACAAATACACTTGAACAATTAGGTAAGATTCACCTTTATAAGACTATGAAGTAAAAAGCTAGTTTGCCTTTTCTCCACTGTCCTCTCAAGAGTTAACCAATCATACACAGAAATAAGCTTGTCACAGAAATAAAGTCATACAATCAATACTTTCTGCAACTTTTTGTTTTTGTTTCCTAAAACCAGGTTTTGCTATGTAGTTCAGGTTGGCTAAGACCTCAGGGCGATTCTCCTGCCTCAGCCTCCCAAGTCCCAGGACCATTGGTGCAAACCACCATACCCAGCTTCACTTGTTTTTATTACTCAATAAAAAGCAGGCAGGCCAGGGAGTTAGCTCTGCGGCACCTGAGTTTGACCCCCCCAGTACCTAAATAAATAAATAGATAGATAAATAGGCTTTAATACATTTTATATACTATACAATGGCTATTTCCCAGTTTAGCTGTCTACTCATTAATTCACCATCAACAGCTATTATTTCCCCACATCCTTACCAATGTTGGATATTAGGAACTGCGCAAATTTTTGTCACTTGAAGCAAAAATGGTGTTTTGAATACTACTGTATTTGTTTTCTTCCATTACTACACAGGGGGAAATGTTTGCTTCTTCCTTTACCTCTGTTCAGTCTAAACCACTGGTGGTGAACTTATGGTGTGCGTGTCACAGTGGACTATTTGTATCACTGAAAGTCCTAAGAGGTTTTCCATCAGCAGTCTAAGCTCTTTTCTTGAGTTCATTTTTCTTATAAACTTGTAGAAAATATTAGAGTTAGTCACACTTTTGCCTATTTTACACTATATAGTATCTTCTCCCACTGCTATATATCTTACTGTCTCATTTTTTCAGACAGGGTCTATCTGTAGCCCAGGCTGGCCTTGAACTCTCAAGAGATCCTCCTGCCTCAGCCTCCCAAGTGCTGGGATTACAGGCAGGCACCACTACAACTGGCTATTGTCTTTTGTTAATACAGGATTTAAAAACCTTTATGTACATAGGTACGTATATACATCTATTCTTTTTGTTGCTGTTACTCTTTTGGTACCAGGGATTGAACTCAGGACCTTGTGCTTGTGAGGCAGGTGGTAGAACCACTGAGCTGAATCCCCAGACCCATATATATAAAATTTTTTTCAGGCTCTCTTTAGGATTTCTCTCCCCTTGTACTTTAAAGTACTCTCCTAGCTGGAATGTCTATTTTGCATGCAAAGATCTGGGACTAGACCTTTTCCCCAGCACCAGCAAACCAACTGTTTCAACATCATTTACTATAAAATCTTTTCTAATATGTAAATCTTTAAACTTTCCACTATTAGAGCCTAATATTTTTTTTTCTAGTACAGGGGATTGAACCCAGGACCCTTTTACAGTAAGCCACATCCCTAAATATTTTCATTTTGGGACAGGTGCTTCCTAAATTACCCAGTATAGACTTCAATTTGTGATCTTTCTTCCTCAGCCTCCCAGACGGCTGGTATTATAGGGCTGTGCCACCACACACTACCTTACCATTAAAATTAAAGCAACCCTCCCCTCCCTTCTCCCAAATTTTAGTTATAGTATCCTGGTGTATTTTCTCTTTAAATCTTGGGACAAATTACAAAGATCCCTCCCCCACAGGTCTCAATTGTTTCCTTTTAAATTATTTACTATTTAAACAAAACTGTGGCTGGGTATGGTGGTATACATCTGTCATCCCATCACTTTGGGATGCTAAAGGGAGGAGAATCACAAGTTTGAGCTGTGTGGGGGAATTTAGTAATTTAGCAAGACTGTCTCAAATAAAAAGGGCTGGAGACGTAGTTCAGTGTAAACACCTTGGGTTCAATCCCCAATATTGTAAAAATAAGTAAATAAAAACACTGTGAGTGTCTAAAAAATCTCCCTCCCTCCCTTTCTATACCGGGGATTGAACTCAGGGCCCTACTCTTATGAGGCAGGTGGTGAAATCACTGAGCCAAATCCTCAGCCCAAAAATCTCACTCTTATTCAGTTTGGCCTTGAAGTCCTAGGCCCAAGTGATCCTCCTGCCTGACTCCCAAGTAGCTGGGAATGCAGACAAGTATTACCATGCCTGTCTAAAAAACACTACATATTTACATTTTAAAACCCACATGTCAACATTTCAGCCTTTGATTTTAAAATAATACAACTGCCACTACAAAAACCCAGGACATCAAGCAATAAACACCTCTAACTAGCTATAAAGCTAGGCAGGTGGATTATAGATTAAATCCAGGACCTTTGCATTGAAAATTAAGCTATAGCCCTAGCTCCATAAGTATGTATGTACGTATGTACATATACACACATGAATCAATCAATCTATCAATCAATCGTTTTTTGTTTTGTTTTGAAGACAAGGTCTCACCATTAAGTTGTCCGACTTGGACTCAGACTTACAATCCTCCTGCCTCAGCCTCTCAAAGTGCTAGGATTACAGGTGAGTCCCACCAGGCCAGTGACTTTTTCATGACTCTTAAGACATCTTTGCCTGGCTTCAGACTGCTTTACCATTCAGCCTTGTAGACCCCACAACCCCAGGCCTAGCTGAGGAGTGAAGGGTCCCAGTAGCTAAGAGCACACCTCCACGTCCAGACCTTGGTTTCTTACACCATTGTTCACAAGGAAACAGGACACTGGTCCTGGGGATGGGACAGGAAAGGTAAGCCTGGAGTACTGCCTTGTGCCAAAAAGTATAGAAATACAGACGTGCTCAAGGAATGACATTTGGAAGCAACCCATCCGATCGGGCTTCCACTGGAATAATAGCACACCGTAAGAATAAAGGCTTATCATCTATTGAATAAAATAGAGATGTCCAAGTTTACACTGATAATTGGGAGAAGGGTAAGTTATTCCTTAAGGCAGAAAACCAATTATTGCACAGAAGGAAAGATTAAAGGAGAAAATCACCATTTGACAGGTATCAAGGGGACTGGGCAACAATCAGTGGATTGTGCACCTGGAGGAGGCAGGCTGGATATGTACAATCTCCCCCTATCTTCCCCACAAGCCAGGAAGGTGACCACCAGCACTTTGGTCACTTCATGTGGCCAGAAATGGCTCAAAATGACAACTGCATGTGTCCCCAAAAGGATACTCTGGGAAGCACAGAACACTTCTAGGGGGGTTTCTTCTTTCTGCATTGCTGGGGATGAAATTCAGCTTCTTCTGCAGGCTAGGAAAGTACTCTACCTCTGAGCCACACCCAGTTCTTTGTCAATTTCTTCATCTTGGAATCTGTGATTATATAGTTCTCTCACTTTTAGGAAATTCTATAGTAGGCACATGGCTTGCCATTTGTTATCAGTTTAGGGAATCCCTGATTCCAGCATTTGGAGGTTGAGGCAGGAATGCAGGTTAGTTCAAGGCCAGCTTATCTCACAAAACCAAAAAAACCAACCAGTTAATAAATCAGAGTTTAGGGAAAAAAGGGCGAGGGAAAAAAAAAGGTAGTAAAATATTAACATTTAGTGAATCGGGGTGAAGAACACACAGAATTCCTTACACACTAATCTCACAAATTTTTTGTAAATATGGAAACATTACACAAAAACAACCCAAAACGCACAGGATTAAATAATAATTAAAAAGCTAACTTTACACGTCCAAGTTACTTTCTCAAACATTGCAAAACAGTTTATTAAATATTGTTTGTGATAATACCACTACAAAGAAATTTACTTTGCTGATAATTATTTTAAGATTTTGCTAAAAACTTTATAGATTTAAAACTACTTTGTAGTGAGCGGTACTGAGATTTGAGCTATGCTTTCTACAATTTTAAACTAGAGTTCATTCATTCAACATATCATTCTATTTTCAATTAAAATCTTGATTAAGAGGGCTGGGGATTTAGCTCAGTGCTTCTGGTGCCTGCTTTTCAAGTGCAGGGACCTGAGTTCAATCCCCGGTACCAAAAAAGAAAAATATCTTGATAAGAGCGTAATAAGGTGCTCAAAAAAGTAATTCAGTAAACTTAACAGACTTGTGCTACTGAGTATCAAAATGGACTGAAAGCTGGGTGTGGTGGCACATGCCTGTAATCCCAGCACTTTGGAAGCTGAGGCAGAAGGATCACTGTGAGTTAAGACCAGCATGGGCTTCACAGTGAGTTCCAGGGCAGTCTGAACTACTTAGTGAGATCCTGGCAAAAAAAAAAAAAAAAAAAAGATTCAAGAGGTCCAGAATATAATTATACCAGACACCAAAGAGTTTTACTGTATGACTCCATCTTACATGAAGTTCTAGAATAAGTGAAACTAATCTTGAGTGAAAATAATCACTACCATATTTTGTTTTGGCTGGGATGGGTGGAGCTGGTGACTGGTCTTCAATGTGGGAAATGTTCTATATTTTCATTCCATTGCCACTTACACAATATGCAAAATGATGAAGTCTAAATGATTTCGACAGTCCAAAGTAAAAATAAAACCATTAGCCAGGTGTGGTGGCATGTGCCTGCAATGCCAGCACTCCAGAGGCTTCTGAGTTCAAGCCACTCTGAAATATATACTACGGAGGCCTCGTCTCAAAAACAAAATGAAACAGATGTAAACATTACTCTGTAACACCGCATAATTTTTTTTTGTACTCAGAACCTTGGGTTTGCCTCGCACCACTGGGCTAAATCCTAGGCCTTCATAATTTTTCTTTTTAGTCACAACATAAAGCTTAGGAGCCACATAGAACCGGCTGGCAGCACTGCCCAAAAAGAAGAGTAAGACTTCACTAACCAAAGCACCACAAACAAGTCAAATAACAGATTCAAATAAACTGCCATATTTTCTATAGAGAGAATAATCACAACTCAGTAATAAATATGCAAAAGGCATAAAAAGGCAATTGAGAAACACAAATGGCCAATAATCAGAAGCTGTCTGATTTACCTGTAGAAAAATGTAGACAAACACAATATTTTTATTCTAACAGGCAACTTAAAAAAATAGAAAACCTCAGTGTTACTGAGAGTTTAAAGAAATAGGCAACACTGTTGGACAGACATTAACTGATACAGTTGCAGAGCTATTTGTTTGTAGCTATTGTAAAATATAGAATGCCATACCCCCAAATTCTGCCTTTATTAAATTATTGAAAACACTCCTTTCTGGGCACAGAAGTGTGCACACTTGTAGTCCCAGCTACTTGGGAGGCTGAGACAAGATCACTCGGACCCAGGTGTCCTAGACTAATCTGGGCAACACAGTGTGAGACTTTTATCTCAAAAAATAGAACAAGCTGGGGATTTAGCTCAGTGGTTCCGCCACCTGTCTCAAAAAATAGAACAAAGGGCTGGGGATTCAGATCAGTGGTTCCGTTGCCTGCCTCACAAGCACAAGGTCCCAAGTTCGACCCCTGGTACCAAAATAAATTAATTAATTAAAAACACAAAGATATTCCTTTAACTTTGAAGAGGTCCTCCTGGTTCATGGCAACACTGAAAATTAGAAATGTCAAGTAAAAATTGACAAAAACCTGACAGACTGATGAACTAAACACTAATACTTTGGTACAGAGGTTTACTATTACTCTGTTGATAAAGAATAGAGCCTATTTATTCCATCTGTGCCATCATAGAAAAGATATCCCATTCTAAGTGAAAAAAGCAAATCACAGACGATTTTTGTATAACAGGGCCCATTTCTTCACATAAAGACACATGTATTCAATTGAGTACGCATATCCCTCTGGTATCTACTTGCTGGGTGTGACAGCGCACACTTGTTATCCCAGCACTTGGGAGACTAAGGCAGGAGCATGCATCATCATGAGTTTGATACCAGCCAAAATTACACACGCGAAACCCTGTCTCTGGGGGGGAATTAAAAAAAAAGCAAACAAACTACATTATTATTATTACTTTTTGGTATGGAGGATTGAACTCGGGACCTTACACATGCAAAGCAGGCAGCGGAACCACTGAGCTAAATCCCTAGCCATAACTACATTATTTAAACGACTGCATATACATAGGAAATCTGGAGAGCAGGCTCCAACTTTTACTAGCATGTTACCTGACTGGGAAGGGTGCTGCAGGTCCAAAAGACAATTCAATAAGTGAGGAGCATCACACATGCTTATCAATCCCTCATACCTTTGCTGGATCTCTTGGATGTTTTCTTGTTTCCTTCAGATGTAACTTCAATTTCATCAGGGTTACCACCTTCATCTTCAATTGCCTAAAAGGAAAGTAAAAAAGAAGCTGACACAAGAAAACACACAACCATGTGCGGCAGCATAGACCTGCAGTCCCAGCGACTTGGGAGGCTCAGGTCAAAGGACTTCCTGGGCCCAGCAGTTTGAGATCAACCCAGACAACACTAAAAGCCCTCATTTTAAAAAAACCAAAAACAACTCACACACACATACACAAACTTTCCCAGAACCCTCATCGGAAGGAAAATACAGACTGTTACCAATTTGAAAATGCCCTCAGCCCAATGGGCATCTATTTACCCATCCATTTCTAATCTGGCTCTACATGGGAACAGGGGATCTGGAAGTAAACAGACCGTGAGTTCTTAGTGTAGAGTTGCAGGCAGTGTTACGTTGCTTTGAAACACGGGCTGCTGTGTGGACTCTGGCACTGTTTAAACAACCCAAAAGGTTCATCCTATTCCTGGGCCCAAAAGAACTCAAAGAGAAATGTACTGCTGAATTCCCTTTGGCTTTGCCCAGCAACAAGAAGTTTAGCCCTCCAGCCTCACCTCTCTATGCCATGCCTGTGCTCTCAACAGTCCGGGTAAAATCCTGACCCTCACTGACTGAGTGCCCGCTGTGTGACAGGCACAGGACCACACACACCCCGACTGCTCCCAGGACCTTCCCTTGGCCATCAGTGCCCTGCATGGATAGAGCATACTGAGTAAGGGTTTCTGGGCAGGCGCTGCCTCTCACACTAAGAGTTTGTCATTCAGTCCCCTTTTGCAGCACAGCGCCAGCAAGGAGCAGATACTGCAAGCACCAGTACTGATGTTGTTGACAGCACTCCTACAAATGAGCTCAAGTTTGGGCTCACTTATAACCTTTTCTCTCATCATTGTACTGTGTTGTAAGCTAAAATTCTTTTTTGGGGGGTGGGGGGTACCAGAGATCGAACTTGGGTCCTTGCACTTGCAAGGCAGGCGGCGGAACCACTGAGCCAAATCCTCGGCCGGCCCGTAAGCTAAATTTCTCATTTGCTTTGTTTTGTTTTTACAGTGCTAGAGGCCAATTCCAGGGCCTTGCACATGCTAGACAAGTTCTCTACCACTAAGCCACACCCTCACCTACACACAATTTATTTAAAGCCATTTTAAGTGCTATGTTTTACCTACAGACAGCTTCAAACATCTCTAAGATTCTCAGGAATTTCCCAGCTTGGTAAGTCTGAATTTAGAATGGGGCTTTGGGGTTTTGCACAGAACCTCTACCAACAGCAAAGACAATCTCTCCCCTACATGAAAACCAGAAGAAGGAATTGGAATTTTGTCCTGAGATTAAGGAAAAGCACAATCAGTCCTCTTGCTGGAAAAAGCCAATTCTGAACTATCACAAGAATAGAACTGCCCAAGGCAGGAGGCGTCCCATTCTACCCACTGCGTCTCCCATGGGTACAGTGTTTACAGTCATCCCTGCAGGCCTCAGCAAATGCCTCTACTTTTTTGCATTTACGCAATTCCTAGCAAAAACCAAGAATGGGATACCAACTGGGTGAGAGAGTGGAAAAAAAAAGAAGCTCTGCAACTCCAGCCCTGCTGAGGCACGCTACAGACAGCCCTGGGTTGATGGCATTTCTGCAGTGACACTACATCCTGGAGAAACTGACAAGAGGGAGAAGGAATCAGGGATGCATTTGTGCCCTCCCAAGAGGACAATGAAAGAGCGATTTGTGAGGTCATACACTAGTCCCAGCCACCAGCCTGACAGAAGCTCAAGAAGCTTTGCAGGCTTACTGATCAGAGATAAGGCCCCCCAAATTGGTTGTCTGACAGGAAGCTCTAAGAACAGGGCCCACACCTCCCCAGTTGCGAATTTTCACCCTTTCCTGCATTTTCTCCAGGTAAACTTTATGGTCAATAGAGGCCCTGCTCTCAATAAAGACTTAGTAACCACACAGAAAGAAGCAAAAGCTTGAGCTTTTAAAAGATTCTAATAAGTGAAAGAAGAAAAAGAATCCCCCAAGAACAAGGAAAATAGGGACTAACTGGGGGGTGCTACCTTTAAAAAGGGATCCCTCAGAATCCCCTAAGGTTAGAGACCTGATCTATAAATGACAAAAGGTGACACTGACAGGAAAATCAAACTGTGATAACAATCACAAGCAGTGTTTAGCTGTGCCAGGCAACAGGCCAAACCATGCCACGCGACCTTATCTAATCCCAAAGCGCTATCATTTTTCTTTTAAAAGACTTTAATCCCTACGCTTTAAGAGGCTGAGGTAGGAAGGAAGATTGCAAGTTTCAGCCCACCCTGGGCAAATGCACCAGATTCAGTCTCAAAATAAATAAAAAAGGAGCCGGGGATGTAGCTCGGTTCAAAGGCCCTGGGTTCAATCCTCCTCTCCCCCAAACTCCCCAAAACAGACCCAGGAGAGGTTAAAGGTCTTCTGTGCCCAACAGCAAGGACAGATGGACACGATTGGCTAAGTTCCGATGCTTTTTTTTTTTTTTTTTAACGTAACTAGCGCACCAGTTGGCGCTTATCCTCCCAGCACTGTAGAGGCTGAGGCAAGAGGTTCTCCGTGAGTTTGAAGCCAGCCTGGGCTATATACACTGAGTACAAGGCCGGCCTGAACTACAAATCAAGTCTGTCTCAAAAAAAAGAAAAAAAAAGTCCCAAAACAAACAAAAACCCTCACAGCATGTATCTGACATTCGCAAGAATCGACAAGCGCTGTTCCTTCCTGCCATGTTACTGCCCTCGGTTAGTCCTTGGCAAATCGTTAAGACCAGTTTCCTTTTATTCCTCGCCTAGGATATTCCCCAGAGCAGTTTACTTTGGTCCCCCACCCCCGGGAACCCAGCACTGACGCCCCGGGGGAGAACGGGCCTGGGTTCAAATCCCGACGCGCCCCGCCCCGGCTGTGTGACCTTGGCCGAATCCCTGCATCTCACTCAGAAAGTGCGGATTTCGGGATCCCCGTCCAGCTATGGAGGCCGGGACGGGACCCGCTGAGGAGCTACCTCAGCGCTAGGACTGATGTCGCCGGCTCCCAGGACCTTGGGACAGCGACTGCTTCTCCGGTCTGCATCCTGCTTGGTTTTATCCGCCACCTTCACCTCAGTGTGACCCTGAGACCCGGACCCAGGCCCGCCGGCCTCGGAACATCCCGGGGCCTGGAAGAGCCGAGAGACGCCGGCGCCAAGGCCGGGGACGACCGAGGGTACACAGATCCGGTCGCGAAACTCTTCAACGCCCCCGGACCCACCCCTAGGGCCCGCTCTACCTTTTTCAGCCGCTCCATCAAAACACTCTTGTTACCACTGGAATCCAGATTCCGTTTCCTCAGTTCCGCCCGCAGGTCGATCACCCGCAGGTCGCTGAGGCGCCGCGTCCCGGTCTCCGACGAGGCGGAGCTCAGAGCCGTTGCGCTCGCCGCACCGGAATCCCCTAAACCTGACAGAGTCTCCGCCATTCCAGGGACCCCGGTTCCGTCGCCCCCTTCACACAGAACCAGGCCGGTTTTATCTCGGCTTCTAGCACAAAATGGCGCCGCCTGCGAGGAAACCGCTCCAGCCGCCCGGCGCGCCTCGCTTCTACGCAGGCGCATCCGGCGCGAGACCGACGCTCCAAGTCGCGTCTGCACATGCGTGGTGACAACCTCGGGGAGCCGTGCGCAGGCGCGTTCCTCCTTATCTGGCTCCCCCCGCGGACTATCGAGACGCATGCGTGCTGCAGTGACGGCGCCTGCGCGTTGTGGCAGGGGACGGGAGGTTGGTCGGTGACAGAGCTTGCCTGAGGCTGAGGACGCTTCTGGGAGCGGTACGCCTGCGCGGCCGCAAAGCGGGGCGGGAGGAAGCGAGTGCGTTTTCCTCTTAGGCGGCGCCATTTTGTGCTCAGAACCGCTACAGCCGCCGGCGGTGAGGGCGCTAAACCGCGATAGCGGGGATGGCGGAACCTCTGGCGGCATCGGGAGACTCGGGCTCTGGCACGGCTGCTCAGGGTTCGGGCCCCTCGGAGACAGGAACGCGGCGGCTCAGCGAGTTGCGAGTGATCGACCTGCGGGCGGAGCTGAAGAAGCGGAATTTGGACACCGGTGGCAACAAGAGTGTCTTGATGGAGCGGCTCAAGAAGGTGAGGTGGCGCGGGGACTCGGCCTGTCACCGCGAACCCGCACTTTGGGCGCCCCCCTCAGCTGCCGCCGTCAGGCCCCGGAGTCCCCGGTGTGTGACCTTGGCTGCCACCGCTCCACTCTGTCGCGCTTCCCAGCCTCTTTCCAGCCCGTCGCCCCCGGGGTGCTTCAGGCCGCTCTTGGTGGCTTGCGGGGTGGCCTCGGACAGCCCCCTGTGCTCGGGGTGGACTCTTGAACAGGTGACCTTGAACAGGGGCTCCTTTCCCTCTGCCTCTCAGTTTCCTCCTCTGCAGAAAGGGCGCCCGAGAGAGGTGTAGGGGGGGCGGGGCTTGCGCTCCTGGCGCCTACGTCCAGGTCTCCCGAGGCTTCTGCCTGGAGCTCCTGGTCACCCCCGGAGCTGGAGGAGCTGTCACTTCCCCGACCCACTCTCCCGGGCCACCTGTGCCACGACCTGGACCTGAGCTTACGCTCTGGGCTTCCTAGCAGTTGACATGGGTGAGGCTTGTGGGTGTCCACAGCTGAGACAGGCACCCTGAGTGGGGACCTGATGATTTCTCAGGCACTGAAACACCTGGTGGGGAAAACCGCGGAACCCTACCCAACCCTTTGGTCCTAGCGGGGCAGGTGTGGCCTCTTGCTTATTATTGTCCCCACGTGTGACGTTTAAATACCGGGTTACAAGCAGGGCATGGTGGTGCACGCCGGCAGTCTCAGCTGAGGCAGGAGGATCTCCCCAAGTGCAAGTTCGAGGCCGGTGTGGACTGTAGTGAGGCCCTCAAAACTATTAAGTACAGGGTTTGGGCGTCACGGGGATGCGAGACCTTTTTGGGAACACTCGTTGACCCTGATTTTCGTTGATCCTGATTTTGCAGCAAAACTCAGGGTCCCTGATTCTTTTTCAACTGGGCCCTGGGCCCAGACAGAACCAGGTTGGGCTGGCTTCATCCTGTGCCTTGGAGTTGCAGCCCACATAACAGAAGCCCTTTGTGCTTGGTGAAGTAGCCACTCAGGGGACAGGGTGTGCCATGCAGCTCTTAATGAGTAACTTTGTAAAAAAATCTGTTTCTTTCCAACAGGCGGTTAAGGAAGAAGGGCAAGATCCTGATGAAATTGGCATTGAGCTGGAAAGCACTAGCAAGAGGATGGCAAAGAGATATGCTAAAGGTAGCCTCGCATCCGTTCTTAGGGATTGCTTTGTGGTCTGGCTGTCCAAACTGCTTTGCCAGCAGCTATTAGCTTCCCCTCTAGGAAGGAGGCTGTCTCTTCGCTCCCTGTCAGGTAGCTGTGTCAAAGCTGGAAAAGAGCGTGCAGGTGCCGAGTTGAGTTAAAGTAGACGTGGAAGCATTTTGGCCCTTGTTTTGGGAAAGAACAGAGGAAAGCTGCCCCAACCAATCCGAGCAACAAATGCTGCTGTTTCCTGGCTTTCTTCCTCGTTCAAAAAACAGTTCTTTAACTGAGGAAAATGTCACCAACCTGAGGCCAAAGAGAGACTGGCTTCCCTAGGGTCCAAAATAGATTGCTGGGATATTTGTGCCCAGCCTCTATTTTTACCAGTATGTCGTCTTCTGTTTTTCTGTGGTGCTGGGTTTATACCCAGAGCCTCGCACTGCTAGGTGTGCATTCTGCCACTGACTTACACCTCCAACCCTCTTGTTTTAAAAATCAAGATGGGGGCCGGGGGTTTAGCTCAGCGGTTTGGTGGCCTGCCTTGCAAGTGCAAGGACCCGAGTTCAATCCCTGGTCCAAAAAAAAAAAAAATCAAGATGCAGCTGGGTGTGGTGGCGCAGGCCTATAATCCTGATACTCGGGAGACTGAAGGAGAATCACTGTGAGTTCAAGACCAGCCTAAACTATGTAATGAGACCCTGTCTCCCACTAAAAAATATTTAAAAAAAAGGGCCAGGGGTTTAGCTGAGTGGTTATGCCACCTCCCTTGCAAGCCCAAGGTCCCAGGTACCCCAAAAATAGATAAATAAAAGTAAACAACAAACGCCAATCATGATGGTGCAGTCTTGTCATCCCAGCACTTGAGAGACTGAAGCAAGAGAATCTCCAAAAGTTTGAGGACGGCCTGGGCTGCATAGTTCAAGGATAGGCTGAATTACATTGCACAACCCTGTCTTAAAACACAAAACAAAACACAAGCGCTGTAATCGCAGGCTCTTAAACTTTCACCTAAAGTGTACACTTCAGTGCTTTCTAGGATGTTCATGGGGCTGCATGGCTACCATCACTTGTCTGGTTTGGAACATTCTTGTCATTTTAAGAGGAAACTCCATCCCTCTTGGTGGTCAGTCTCTGGCCCCTCTCTACAGCCCCCGATACCCATGTCTCTAAATTTGCCTGTTCTGGGCATCTTGTGATCCTGGGCATCTCATGTGATCGGGATCACACAGAGTGGCGTTTTGTGTGTTACTTTCTTGTACGTAGTGACTGTTTTCAACCCTCAGCCTTGCGACCTGTGTCAGTGTTTCATCCGTACTTTTCTGTGCTTGATAAGAGTTATTTTCAGAGACGTCTGGATTCATGACTTCAAAGCCTTCCTCGTCCTGCTTAGCTCTGTCCTTAACGGATTCTCTAGTGAGAGGACAGCATCATTGGAGACTCTGGTGCTGGGCTTGGTTTTGTCTTTTGCTGTGTCAGGGCCTGTATGTGCTAAACACAGAGCCAGCTCCCCAGCCCAAACTTGTTTCTGGAAGGTGCCATATGGAACTTCTCACAGCTGCCTGTGTTCCCATCATGGGAAGAGATGCTAAATTCAGGTAGTGTGGACAGCTGCTGAGAAAGTGAAAGATTAAAGTGGTAGCCCTGCCGACAATCTGTCTTCATCTTTAAGCTGCTTCTCTTAGCAGCGCAACTTCTCCATAGCACGTGTGTTTAAAACTGTTGCGAGTGTCTCGAACAGTCAGCTTTTTCCGTTAGGTAACATAAGGAATTGAAATTGGGATTTAGCTCTGACACATTGATGTGGTGGTGTCGTCCCCGAAAGTGTTGAGTTTTCAGCTAAGAAACTGACCCGGTGGCTGGAGAATGGAAGAGGCCGGTGCCCCACAGGAACCACACCGGTGTCTCCTCTGCACAGATGTGAAACTAGCCGCAATTGGAAATGTGTTTGGAATAGTTGTGAGAAAACATACTAAAGTTTAAAACCTTGGCCATAGCACATGTTAGACAAGCACTCTGAGTTACAGCCTCACCTGTTTTTAAAACTTTTATTTTGAGACAAGGTCTTACTCTATTGCCTGGGCTGGCATCAAATCTGTGATCCTCCTGCCTCAGCCTCCCAGTAAAACTTTAACAGCCATCCTCATTTAAATGTGAGGTTCAGGACATACTAACAAATGTCTTTGGCTTCCACTGGAGATTTTTGCATCGTTAAGAGAAATTCACCCTTCACTGAAGGTTTGGTGCCAACTGTTAGTGCTTCAAATACTTTTCTGGATTTCAAGTCAAATCCTAACAACTCAGGAAAGGTCACATGCGAATTCCCCTGGTAGAGAGCACTGTAGTCTCACCTCTGGTTCAGTTGAAGGGCCTCTGGTCTCTTCTTCCTCATGCAGGGAAATGGTCTGGCCCTGCGAGCAGAGTTAGGTGGCCCATGTCTTTGGTGAGCCCAGTCTCCCACCTAGAGCTGCAGGAGCTCCTGACCTCAAGGCTATGAACAGAAAAGGCCATGTCTGCTGCACTGGGTCCTGGGACCTCTTGGAGGTCCTGGAGCTGCCACCTTTCCCTGGGACAGAGTGGCTGACCTTGTGGTCAGAAAGTAAGCTCTCCTTAGTGTATCCTACCCTGTCTGGCCAGGCACAGAGGTTGATAACCAGTGGTGCTGGAAGATGACAGTTTCATGTTAGGTTGGACATGAGCCTAAGATTTTATTTTGTGCTCCAGGGCGCCCCCTACCTTCGGGGCAATGAGCTGCATGCCTGCTGCTTGCATCCCAAGGGAGCTGCAGGGGACTCTGGAGACCTAGGAAATGGTGGTGTTGGCAGACAGTCCTGACCATGGTTTGGGAAGGAGTGGCTGTGTGTAGGTGTTCTCGGGATTGGGACAGCGGAGTTGAAAGTCCCAGCTCGAGAGAAACCAAACTGTCCTGTGGGAGGCGGGGATGATGAGACCTGTGGGTATTATGGGGACTGTCAGTGATGGCCTGGTGGTCCCTGCGCCTGGCATGCTCCAGCTTTCCAATGCTGTGAACACGCCAGTGTGGACCTTTGATAATCAGTGAGATTTCTTTAAGCTTAGTTTTCTCTGAAAATACAGCTAACTTGGGAATCGTGAAAAGTGCACGTGAACATAAAATTGTAGCTTCGGCGAGTCACAGTTTTAACACCTAATGGTATTTTAACTGTTGTAGTGCTGGCCCTAGCCATGTGCACCTGTGAGCCGTGCACATGTGGCCTCACTCGTGTGTGTGTGTGCACATTTGCGGGGTTTCTTTATTTTTATGTATTTATTTTGGTACCAAGGCTAGAACCCTAAGCCTTTGCACTGAGCTGCACCCTCAGCTCTTTATTTTTGGTCATGAATTTAGCCGTACTCGGTCCTAAATAGTCATCCTCCTGCCTCAGCCTCCCAGGGTGCTGGGATTACAGTGTGTACCACACCGAGCACAGAAAAGTAGCTTTTGTTTACCTGGAGTGTACTTCGTGAGTTTTCCTGTGCTGTTCTCCTGCAAAGCAGGACCCTTCAGGTTGTCAGGCTCGAGTGGCGCCCCTGGCTTTCACCTGGGCACCAGGGCGGGCAGGAGGGTGTGGATGCTCTGGGCTGGCAGTGCCTATACATCGAGGGTGTGCGGCAGCCCCCTTGGCCTCTACCCTTGTGCTGCCGCATCACCTGGACCCGCCGGTGGTGACGACCAGAGCTGTCAGCCCTCCCCCTGTGCCGCGCCATCGCCTGGCCCCGCCGGTGGTGACGACCAGAGCTGTCTCCGCCATGGCAGCGGCACCACCTTCCCATCGAGCGCTGCTGTCGGCCCTGTGCACTGCCGGTGAGTGAGAACGAGCTGTGTGACTTCCTTTCGGGTGTCTGCAGTGTGTCTTTTTGTAGACAGGGGACCGGCTCTGGTTTGAACTCCTTCCACGCTTTTACTGAGCACCCTGAAAGCTGACTGCTGCTGAGCTGCAGAGGTTGAGGCTGGGTCTCCTGCCCATTTGCTGTGGGAGCCCCAGCAAGCCAGGCTCCAGCCTGCATGGCTGAGGTTGGAACCTAGGTCTTGGTGCTGGGTGCACCTGACTTGGAGCTGTACCCCTGCACGGTGTTAGTGTGGGTTTCAGTTCTGTGATTACTCAGGGACCCTGTGATGTCGGCTGAGTTGCTGGTTGGAAAAGGCTTGCGTTTAGCTTTGGCTCAGTTTTCTTTTGGGGTATTTGTTTTAGTTTGGAATGACTGCGAAGTCTTCTGAAGATTTTAGCTATCTTGTGAAAAGTCTCCAGAGTGCTCGTCAGTCCCTGAGGTCTTCACCTCTCCTGTCCCAGTTTAGGGCTTCCATATAGTACCAGCTGAGACCTAACTCGAGTGACAGAGCAGACACTTTGACTTCTCCACGTGACGTGTTCTGACTGAGGTTGAGAGCTGTTGTCCTGGGTGAACTGAGTAGGAGGCCGGTACTTGAGTGTTACCTGACCAAACAATTGTTCTGTAATTAGGGCAAAAGATGGAAGATGAAGGCGCAGAAGACAACGGCCTGGAAGAAGAGTCCCCTGACGGACAGGTATGTGGCATCCCGGGAGAGCGCGGTGGCGCTGAATTCCAGTTGCTGAGACACCGCCCCCTCTTCCAGGAGGATGTGGACGTGAGTCTGGAGAACCTGCAGGGCATGGACGTGGTGGACATGAGCGTGTTAGATGAAACCGAGGCTGAGGACAGCAGTGCTCCAGACTTCGGGGAGGATGGCGGCGGTGACGACAGCATCCTCAGTCCCTTCTGTGACAGTAAAGAGTACATGGCCGCACGGCTGGGACAGCTTCCAGCTCAGCTTGCAGAACACGCTGTAGGTAACTTGGAGACGTGCTATGTGCCGGGGCTGAGGGCCTGTCCCGAGGGAGCGCTCCACTAAGTCCCCAGGAACCCAGTTCGCTATCTAGATCCGGCTCCATAGTCCTGGCAAGGGCCAGGGATTCAGCTCAGTGGCGCCATGCCTGCCCCTCGAGCACAAGGTCCTGAGTTCGACTCCTGGTGCAGGAAATAGATAGTTAGTCCTGGTGAGTATTTTTAGAATATATGGCAGGAAGACTCTATAATCATTTAAGTTGTGAAATAGAAGGCCAGCAGAGCTATGGATAGCTGTTTCCATTTAATAGGGTTTTGGGACAGCCTTTTTTATTTTGAGACAAAGTCGTCTTAAGTTGCTTAGGCTGGCCTTGAACTTGTCATTCTCTTGTTTCTGCTTCCTGAGTAGCTCAGGTGACAGGCAAGTGAATCTGGCTCAAAAAAATCATTCTGGTTTTGCTTTTTGGTTTTTCTTAAAAGGCCTTTGCACTGAGTTACATCCCTAGACCTTTTTGTTTTTTATTTTGAGGTAATGTTCTTATTAAGTTGCCTGGGCTGGGCTTGAGCTCACAACCCTCCTGCCTCAGCTTCCCAGAATGCTGGAATGACAGGTACACACCTCCAGAGCCAGCTCTGACTGGCCTTGCGTGGTCAAATATTGTAGTCAGAGTTTGGTGGTGGTTGATCCTGGGAAGCATTACAATGTTCTACTTTGGAGAAAGTGATTTTTAGGGTTTTCCCCTAAACCCTAAGGTCAGAAATCACCAACTCCAGATGTCCCCCGCCTTGGTGCGGAGGGGAGGGGTGGTGGGCACTCCAAGCCACAGGGGTTTGCCCTCCTCCCCAGGGTGGTACCCTTTGTGAGTGTCTGTGCCCCTGAAATGTATGTTCTCTCATTTTTTGGTTCCTGGAGGTGTCTGGGTGCTAGGTTCACAGCTGCACGAGGAGAAGGGGATGTTTTTGTTTTCCACATGAAAAGATAAGGGTCTTCAATTTTAGTGGACTTTAAGGTAACACTTTTCCTTTTGTTTCATAACTAGCTAAAAGAGAACATGATCCTTTCTAAATATGTATTGTGCCAGGCATGGTGGTACACACCTATAATCCCAGCTCTGAGGCTGAGGCAGGAGAATTGCTCGGCTTTTAAAGCCAGCCTGGGCTACATGGTGAGTTCCAGACCAGCCTGAACTACATAGCAAGACCCTCTCTTAATTTAAAATAAAAAAAGATATATAATATATGCATGTTGTAAAGCTGGACATGGTGCTCCACACCTATAACCCCAGCACTCGGGAGGCTGAGGCAGGAGGATGGCATTGAGTTCAGGGCCATCTTGGGCTACATAGTGAGACTGTGTCTTGAAAAAAATAAAAGACATGTTGTAAAGAAAACACCCTGGATGCAAGCATCCAGCTACAGTATTTATTGTCACCGGGTGAAATCCGCCTGGTCATCTGGAGTTGTTTGGGACATGTGTTGGTCACCAGCATGCAGAAACTGGCTGGTGAGCTCCTCTCCCCTTGTTCAGCAAGAGCCACGGCCACTGGTGCAGGTGCAGGTGCAGGTGCGCCAGGGCAGCGAGGGAGTGAGGAGTGGCACTCAGGCTGGGCCAGCCAGCGCTGAGGGGACAGATGAGGCCAGAGAGGTGGAAGCCTCGGCGCAGCAGCGCTGCTCTCCACAGCCTCGTCTTCGCGTCTCTTTCAGGTGGATGGGGACGGCTTCGAGAACCCAATGGAAGCTTCACCATTGGACTTCAAAGTAACTCCGGTAAGCTGGCGCCTGATTCTGCGGTGCTGGAGTCTGACGCATGGTGGTGGTCTGAGCCGAGGAAAGTGTGTGGCAGTGAAGGTCTGTTCCCGAGTTGGCTGTTCTGAACAGCAGAGGGAGGAGAGCCAGGTGCCCAGTGTGGGTGGTGCAGAGGAGCTTGCTGCAGAAAGGGGTGACCGCCACAGCCCCTAAGCCTGGGAAAGGCGGACGCTGGTGTCCTGAGCCAGTGGGACTTCAGGAGAGGTCTGGGCGGCGAAGACGGGTTTGTTCAAGGTAGCAGCCCCCCACCGCCCCGGTAGTCTGCTTGGGGAAGTGGTTCTGCTCCCAACTCCAGTGTGAGGGCCGATGGCCGGCTGTGTGACTCCCTCTGCTCTGGCCCAGAGCTTTGACGAGCTTCAGGGCCCACTGGGGCAGCAGCCAAACTCAGGCTTACCTCGGCCGGCCGGGGACCGCCACTGCCCACGTGCTGGTCCCGCAGAGGCCAGCAGAGTGTTCCCAGAACAGGTGCATTCAGAAGCTGGAGTTGTGCTGCTAGGGAAGTGTCCCTGCACAGTTCCTAAAGTGACGCGTGGATTTGCTCTTTTCTCTTTTTAACAGGATGTTGAAGAACCTCTCTTGGAGCCAGGTACTGATTAGAGAAACGCGACAGTTCTGGTTTGGAAGGTCTCACGCTAGCCCTGTTTGAAAGCTGTGTGTATTTTAAGCTGTGGTGTGGTCTTGTAAATCACCCTAGTGGTGGACAGTCCAGGTGGTACGAGGGTCAGAGATTGGAAACCCATGCGTATCACCAGATCTGTGGGCTTGCCGTCCCGGCTTCTCCAGGGCAGACATAGCGCGTGAGACGCAGGGGTGCTTTTCATCTCTGACCACGCAGAGTGGCATTTAAGTAATGTCCCCATGATTCCGCCACGCGTTTCCACACACGAAACAGATCTTGTGATATTTGGCCGCAGTCGTTGGTTACTGCAGTTGAGGCAGGCTAAGCTGGTGTCAGGGCACGCGCCTCCCGAGCAGGGGCTGGATCCCCGAAGAGAAGAGCAGGGTTTCCTCCCGAAAACTCCCAACCCGCCGTTCCCCGCTGGACTGCATTTCTCTCCCGCCAAAGACGGAAGAGGCTCTGCTGAACTGTTTGCTAACCACAACTCAAAGAAACCAGAAGTTGAGCTGTTCCGAGAACAGTGATTTGTTCGGTTCCGCACCGTGGACATTGGACAATCAGTTGGAAGACCCAGACTCAAAGAAAACCCAGAAAGAAGAAGGCTGTGGCCAAGCAGCCAGTGGTTCTAGGTGCTGAGTCTGTGGGGCCTTTTCTCTCCCCTGTAGCTAGAGGCTGGCGTAGCAGTGGTCGGAGCGCAGGTAGTGTACAGTGTAACTGTGTGTACCCGCGGGTTTTCCAATCTCTGTGTAGCTAGCGGTGCTCTTCGTGTTAGTGTGGCAGCCGTGCCAGTTCCACATTTGTGATTGCTTTATTTCCCTGGTAATTAAACCTTGTGCCATTCTATTCCTGTTAAATCCGTAGAAAATGAGAAAATACTCGACATTTTGGGGGAAACTTGTAAATCTGAGCCAGTAAAAGAAGAAGGTTCCGAGCTGGAGCAGCCATTTGCACAGGATACAAGTAGCGTGGGGCCAGACAGGAAGCTGGCGGAGGAAGAGGACCTTTTTGGCAGCGCCCACCCGGAAGAGGAAGAGGAGGAAGAGCAGGAGGAAGAGGAGGAAGAGGAAGAGGAGGAGGAGGAGGGAGATTTAGATTTGGCCAGCGAGTCAACACGCGCTCAGTGGAGCGAGGCAGACACCCTGTTAGCGGTAGTGAAAAGGGAGCCCGTGGAGCAGACAGGCGAAGGCGCGAGGACGGACTGTGAGCCTGTAGGGCTAGAGAAGCCAGTTGAGCAGAGTAGCGCGGCCTCCGAGCTGCCGGAGGCCTCTAGCCAGGAGCTGGCGGAAGCGCCCACGGAAGCCCCGAGCCCGGAGCCCCGAGATAGCAAGGAAGACGTGAAGAAGTTTGAGTTTGACGCTTGTAATGAAGTCCCTCCGGCTCCTAAAGAGTCCTCAACCAGTGAGGGCGCTGATCAGAAAATGAGGTTTGTTGTTTCTCAGTTTTAGACCAGACGCTATCTCCTTTTCATTGGTCATTTATGACACACATAAGCTGTTTTTCTGCAATTGGCCAGCCAGACTGCTGAAATTGTAGTTTTACTTCCAAACTATGTTTTATTTCTCTGTGTATTTTTAATGGGTGATTCGATTTCTTTTGTTTTTCTCAACCTACCATGGTTGTGTTCTTAAATTGTCATTAATTGTTATTGTCAGCTTAATTGCCTTTTACGAATCTGACATTGTACTTTTTGGGTCAGATTTTCCAATATAAGCTTGCAAAGGTGCCTGTTAAGATTTTATTTCAGACTAATATTCTGGTAGGTATTCAGTTTTAGCATACATCATATTTTTAATTTAGTTTGCGTTAGTTTTTTTCCCTGTATGAGTAACCTTAACTTTTGTCTCTAGCTCCTTTAAGGAAGAAAAAGATATAAAGCCAGTCATTAAAGATGAAAAAGGTATGGTTGATTCTTCGAGGTTGGGGGCCAGGTGCTTGCAGTTGTGTTGGGAGGAAGGGCCGAGGATGTCCCGTCTGCGCCAAGAGTTTTGTTCCTGCGTTGTGGGCCCTGGGAATTTCCCCCCAGTGGCTTCTACAGAGCCGAGCTGGCAGCGTCAGGGGCATCTGTATTTTACGTTTCCGTCCTGCTTGTCAGCCACGGGGTGATGCCAATCACATCCCACGCCAGGACCTCCCCTGCCCGTGCAGTGCCAGCATGATGGGTTTCCGTGCTGCAGCGGCCTCAGCCTGCGTGGGATTGTCCCTCTGCTCCTCCAGCAGAGGGCCAGCCCCCCATCCTGGGCGGGGAGAGCTGGGCTGGTGTAGCCAGGACTCTGGAGGGTGCTCTGACCCCACGAGGCTGCATGTGACAGCCTCCCTCTCGCACCAGGCCGAGTCAGCAGCAGCTCCGGGCGGAACCTGTGGGTCAGCGGACTGTCGTCCACCACGCGTGCCACTGACCTCAAGAACCTGTTCAGCAAATACGGGAAGGTAGGGGTCCCTGCCAGCCTGGGCACGGTGGAGAGAAGAGCTGGGGGGCAAGGGTGCTCCTTGGTGCTGACCCAGTGGTCTGACCTGGGCAGCTCCGGACCGCAGAAAGAAGAAATTTGAGAGCTCATTTCATGCTGTCAATTTCACTGGATCTCTTTTCTAGTTTCTTAATTAAAAGAAAAGGACTGGGTGCCATGCTGCACACCTGTCACCCCAGCACTCTAGAGGCTGAGGCAGCAATACCACAAAATCAAGTCCAGCCTGGGCACCTTAGTCATTTAGCGAAACCCTGTCTCAAGATTTAAAGTAGGAGTGTAGTTCAGTGGGAAGTTCCTGGGTTCAATTCCTGGTATCACACACACAAAAAAAAAAATCCAAAGAACAGAAGGAGCAGAGCCCCCGTGTGTGTTTGTGTACTGTGTTTCCTGGTCCAGGGCGGCTGGGGCCATGGGAGCAGGAGTGGGAGCTCTGTCAGGCCTTAGCCCTGCCCGGGTGCGGCAGACAGTGACCGCCTAGGTGTCCCTGTGCTGCTTGGTCATGTGTCTGTGAGAAATGGCTGTCTCTGGCTCAGGCAGAGCCAAGCACTGGTGTCTGAGTCCTCAGCAGTGAGGACCTCGTTGCTGTGTGCAAGGGTGTAGTTCGCTGACTGGGTGTACCAGGCTGTGTGGAAGGGTGGCAGGAGCCTTGCCCAGTCCAAACTCCTGCATGGGGGCAGTAAGAACGGTGGTTGCCTGGGGAGTGCTGACTGAGCACTCTGGGCTTAGCGCCTGGCACCGCGATGGTCCTCGGGGGCCTGGAGCAGCCGCCCCTGTGCCGGAGCTCGTGGGGGCGGCTCAGGACCTCGTCACGGTGGGAAGGTGCAGGGTCCCAGGGAGAATGTGAGGTTTTGTGAAGTGGCCTCATTCCCTGGCCCATGTGCATCACAGGGCACAGGCAGGGACCAGGCGGCACCTGGGATGTGGTCCTGGAAGGGTGTGCGAGGGGCTGGACCCAGAGCTGTGCTGCTGGCTGCACCGCTGGGTCTCCGTGCCCAGGTGACATCCTCACCTCTGAGCTGGCCCTGTCCTGGCGTGGCTTCCTCACATCGCGGAGGGAAGCACGGAGCTTCACCGCTGATGCAAGGGCTTGTGTCTGTGTCCCTCGGTGTCCAGGGGCGCCCAGAGCACTGAGCCCCCAAGTCAGGGAGACGAAGAGGCTTGCTGAAGCTGATCGGTGTCGGGAGGGCCCGAGACTGGGCTGTATCCTCAGACTTTTCTTTTTCTCTTTTCCTTTTTTTGTTAATGGGGATCGAACCCACAACCTTGTGCTTGCCAAGCGGGCATGGTGCCACTGAGGTAAATCCCTGGAGCCCTCAGCCTTTTTTCATTTTGAGACAGGGTCTTGCTGAGTGCTGAGATGAAAGGGCTTTCGTGGTGGTTTTCCAGGAAGGACGATACACGGATCTCCAGGTGGTTCTGTGCTTGTGTGAGTGTAAGAGCTCGGCAGGAATGTGTTGGTTGTTTACGTTCCCCTCCCAGGATGTGGTTTTACTGTCAGCATTTGACTTCTGTGTGGCCATCACTCCATGCTTTCTGGGCTTGGCCTTGGTCGGAGGAACCCAGGAGCACTCGACCACTCCCTGTCTTTTGTGTTTCCTTTTGAAAGGGGGTCTTGCTGAGTTTCTTGGGTTGGCTTGAAAATGGGATCTTCTTGCTTCATCCTCTTGAATAGCTGAGCCAACAGGCGTGCGTCACCGTAACTTCTTAGCCTGTGACTGCCGAGTCTGTCGTCCGTGTCGTGTATGGGCCTGTTTGAGTTGGTTGGATCTTTCTCCGTTGTGGGTTAGTGTTTCCTCCTCCTGTGTGGGTCCAGTGATTTTTTTCGGTTTTGGTTTTTAACGCCTAGTGAGTTTTGATAGGGTGGCAGGTGTTGTGAATTCTGCCTTCTGGGGTGCCTGTCATCATAGTCCCTTTTCTCCGGGGCACGGCTTGCACCCCCTGAGCCTAGCTTTTATGATGTGTTAACTCGGGGGCCCCAGCTGCCCTTTGCTTCGGGCTAATTTGGTCTCACTATGGAGCGACAGCCTTCTGAGTACTCTGCCTAACCCCCTTTGGGATGGAAGCTTGCTTCCCCTCTGGCGTCTGCGCCGCCTGGGGATTGTTCTCTGCGCTCCTCCGCGCCCTCTGTGCCGCCTCTCGGCTCTGCAGTTTATCAGCTCTGTCTCCGTCTCGGTGGGAACCCACCAGCCCGCCTGGCATCGGAGGCTGCAGGCAGGAGGAGCGATGAGCACGGAGTCCCTGCCTCAAGCGGCCTGCGGGCCGTGCTCCCTCCAGGTTGACTTGCGCCCGCCTGCGGCCCGCGGGGCCGGGAGCAGGCTGCCTCTCCGCCACAGGAGAGCCGAGGCCAGCCTGCGGGTGGTGGAGGTGAGGCACACGTTCACCATGAGGGCACCCAGGGTCAGGGTGCTCGGGTTTCGGTAGGTCTGGGCTCTTAGAACCTGTTTTAGAGCTAATTATGAAGAACCCCCAATTGTACAGAGGCAGCAAGAGTGGAAGCGATGCGGAGCGGCCCCTACTGGCTGGTAATGTAGGGAGGTTGTCCGGTTACTTGTACGAGAGGAAAAGAGCGTCCTTTTCCTTGAAGGTGGTGGGGGCCAAAGTGGTGACCAATGCCCGCAGTCCTGGGGCCCGGTGCTACGGATTTGTCACCATGTCCACATCTGAGGAGGCGACCAGGTGCATCAGCCATCTGCACAGAACCGAGCTGCACGGGAGGATGATCTCGGTGGAGAAGGTGAGGCGGCCATTGTCTGTCAGGACTCAGAGTTGATGAGGAACGAGCCCGGGTCCCCACATCATCCCTGTCCGTGTTGTTTCAGGCCAAAAACGAACCCGCTGGGAAGAAGCTGTCGGACAGAAAAGAGTGTGAGGTGAAAAAAGAAAAGTTATCCAGTGCTGACAGACATCACCCTGTGGAGGTCAAAACTGAAAAGTAAAGTGGTTTCTACAAACTTGCGCTTGGGGTCCTAGGAGGGTTGGAGACACCCTGTCCGCGAGTGAGCGACATCACACTCTTCATTCAGCTCGCAGCCTCAACCTTCCAGAGCCTGTAGCCCAGGGACCTTTCCTGCACCTGTGTGCAGGCGACCCCTGTAAGCGTGGCGTCCTCACCCTCAGTGGTGTTGAAGAAACACGCACCTAAAACGAAAGCGTCCTGCTTTCTTTCTGAAGCTCCGAGCCCTGGCCCAGTCACTCAGACTGTAGCATCATTCCCTCATCTGCACTTATTTTTGTGCCATTCTTTGAACCACTGAACCTGCCAAAAGCCCAATTTTCCAAAGATAAAATGCCACCAAGGGAGCACAGCCCAGTCTCCTGCAGCAGGTGACCTTGAGCTGGTCGTTGCTGCTGTGTACAACAGATGCTGGGCATTGCATTGTTTATGTCCAAAATTAAAGATATCCCGGGACCGCTGCGAGGGTACTGGGCGCCCAGGGCACCTCAGCTCACAGGGTAGGAGCGAGACGTCGGCGGCGCTTCTCCCGGAGGGGATGTGAGCCCTGTGTCCCTATCGAGTCCGCGGCCTCTCCTGGGCAGACTGGCTCGGGTGCCCACAGCCGAGACACGGTCTCGGGAAGAGGTGCTGGGGGTCGGGGTGGGGAGAGGTGCTGTCAGCCGAGCCGCGTTCGTACTGTCGGTGTGCCCTGCGTCCAGTCTCTGAGATCGGTTTGCTAAGACTCTGCCTGTAGTAATTTGTCTTGGTGTCGATTCACATAAGAAAATGTCTGCAGGAAACATTTCTGTGGGTGCCATTAGTATTCTTAAGTATTTACTCGTTTTTGTTTTGGTTTTGGTTTTTGGTTTTTTTGTTTTGTTTTGGTTTTTGGTTTTTGGTTTTTGGTTCCGGGAATCAAATTTGGGACCTTGCACTTGTGAGACAGGTGGTGGCACTGTTGAGCTAAATCCCCAGCCCTTGTTTTTGAGAGTCTCGCTATGTAGCCCAGGCTAGCCTTGAACTACAGTGGTCCTCCTGAGAGCTGCGATGTCAGGCGTGTGCGCCTGTGTCCAGCAGTACTTCTAAATGGAACTGGGGTTTACAACTGTGATCCCCATTTGGAGTTGGGGGCCCTGATTGGAATCGGAAGCTTCCTTCAGGTGTTTGCGTGAGACCTTATTCAAAGATCAGCGTCCTGTGAGCATTGTGAAAAATAAACTGCGTTGTCTTGGAAAATGAGGGCTGCTGGATATTCTTAGCGTCCCGGGATGCAGTTATTCATTGTTCTGATCCGAAGCTGAGACGTGTTTGTGGGAAAGGTAGATGGTGACCCGCTAGCAGCTACTCGGCAGCCTGCACGCTGCATCACATGGTGTACGCGGCAGGGTCCTGGCAGGCTGCACCCTGTGTAGCAGTGGAAGCAGGCACATAGAAGGCAGGTGCCAGCCTGAGGCCACCAGCCCCGCCGGTAAGTGGCAAGGCTGGCATCCAACCTGAATGGCTTCCCAGTCCCGTGGCCTGTACTGGACGGTGGGTTTAAGGTATTTAAAAGTAAATTGCTGCTCACCTGCAATACCACCACTCAGGAGGCTGAAGCAGAAGGATCATAGTGAGTCCAAGGCCAGCCTGACCTACACAGGCCAGACCCTGTCACCAAAAAAAAAAAAAACTACCTTATGTCCAGGTGTGATAATATACATGTAATTACCATACTACAGGGGCTGAGACAGGAGAATTGCATGTTTGACCCCCGCCTGGGCAGTTTAGTGACTTAATGAGACCCTGTCTCAAAAAATGAAAAGGGACTCCCAGCACTCGGGAGGCTGAGGCAGGAGGATCACTGTGAGTTTGAGACCAGCCTGGGCTACTTGGTGAGTTCCAGGTCAGTCTCCACTACACAGTGAGACCCTGTCTCAAAAAAACAAACACAAAATGAAGGGCCAGGGATTTAGCTCAGTAGTTCCACTGCCTGCCTGGCAAGCACAAGGACCAGAGTTCAATCCGTGGTACCAAAAAACAAAAAAAAAGGGCTGGCTGCATGTGGTGCACCCCTGTCATCCTAGCATTCGGGAGGGGTCACCACTAGGTCAAAGCCACCTGGGACTACAGAGGGAGACCCTGTCGCAAAGAACAAAACAGACGGAAGGGGCCGGGGCTGTAGCCCAGAGCACGTGTGCCTAGGAGGCCCTGGCTTCCACCCTTGGTTTCACAAACCAAAAACTGCCTTCAGGTAGTTTACCTAGGAAAGTGGAGCCTTTTTCTCTTTTTCTTCTTATTCTTCTAAGACTTGCCGTGCCAATTGAGCCCTGACAAGTCAGCTGAGCCCTGCGAAGGTGTGCAGGGTGCCCGGATGGCAGGTCGCAGGTTCCGCTGTCAGCTGGGGAAATGGCACACAGCCGGGCCGCAGTGCTCCGCACTCTACCCCGTCCCGACTGCACGGCCTTCGTTCGGAAGCGGTGTTTTCCTTCCAACAGTTCAAAAAGTAATATTTCACGCATACGCGGTGAAACCCGCGTAACATTTCCACCTGACAGGCGTCCTTAGGTACTGGGGAGCTTCTCCTGTACGCTTGCAGTCTGTCTCACAACAGCTCGCCTGGCATCTCAGAAGCGGCCCAGGTCTGGCGCGCGGCCCCGTGTGTTCCGTGGCAGACAGCTGAGTGGGACCAGGCCCAGCTAGCGCGGAGAGTGTGGCCGAGGGTGTTAGCACACCTGCAACCCTAGCTCCTCAGGAGGCCACAGCGAGAGCCTCGGGCCAGGCTGGGGAACTGCGAGTCCCAGTCTCAAACAGTAAACGGTGGGGGGGTGGCGTGCGCCTATCCTCCCAGCACGCGGAAGGGGCCAGTGTGATTTTGAGCCCAGCCCGGGCTACATAGTGAGACCCGGCATGGGCCGTGGGTCAGGCACCTCTGGGCTCAATCCCCAGTACCCCCAAGAGAGAAAGGAAGAGCCTGGGGCGCAGCTCAGGCGTAGAGTGCCTGCCCGGCCTGGTACGTTCCGAGCCTGCGGCTTCCCTGTGCTTCTCAGGCGCCACCTTGGATAGGGCTAGGGTCACCCCTGTGACGGACTCCTCTGAACTGTAATGTAACCGTGTTTTTAAATAGAACCACTATCAAGAAGGAAGAGAAGATTGAAAGAAAGGAGGAGAAAAGGCCAGAAGACATTAAAAAGGAAGAAAAAGACCAAGATGAGCTGAAACCAGGGCCTGCAAACCGGTCCAGAGTCACTAAATCAGGTGACAACGGGGTCTGCGGAGGGGGCTCAGAGACTGGGCTGGGTTTGCTGGCCTCAGGGCAGCAGCCTCGTTGTCAGCAGTAGCCTAGTGAAGTCTTGTTTTCGTGCCAGGAGAGGGCAGCAGGCTCCAGGTCGGGTAGGGTATGAGCTGTCCGTCCCTGTGTCCCCTGGTCTGGGGCAGGACGAGGCCCACAGTTTGCAGGAGGGAGTCCGCTGGCTCCCTCAGCTGATCTGCTGCTGCAGTGTGGGATCTGCTTTCCTGCGTTGCTGTCAGAGGCTTGTGATAAAAATGAAAACAGCTGAGCGTTACGGCGTGTACCTGTAATCCCAGCTGCTTAGGAGGCCAAGGCAGGAGGACTGATGGAGTCAGGAGTTGGGGCCAGCCTGGAGGCATAGCTGGTTGCTTAAGAAAAACAGAAAACTGTAGTCTCAGAACATGCACAACCGTTGAACTAGTTACATTAGGAAGATGCCAGTTCTGTTGTCATTTATAAAATTTATTGCACTCAGCCCCATCAAATTTGTGGCAGAAAATAACACCCCCTATGCCTGGAAAAAAAAGCCCAGCCACCTGGAGTGCCTCAGTGTGGAACAGCTCGGCCCCAGTTAGTGCTGGGTGTTTGGATTAATTTAGCAGCAATCTCGCAAGCAACAGGCTTTCAAAGAGTTGTGCAGCATTATAAATTTCCCCACACGAATCCCGCTGTGCAGAGCCTGCCGGCATGGGCACAAACTCTCGGGGCGCCCCTGCTGGGTTGGGGAGCAGTGGCCCAGCGAGTGTGGTGCTCCAGGCCCAGGCCCACGCTTGGGGGCGTGCGTCCCTGTGCGCTGATGGCCAGGAATGGGGCTTCTGTCCTTGGACGCGGGACCCAGGCGACAGCACCCGGGCCGCTGTGTCCCAGGCCTCGCTTGATGTCGTCGTCGTGAGGGGGAAGGCAGGAGGCGGGGCTGTGGGGCTGAACTGTGCACGCGCCCTCATGTCGGCCGCTCTCCCTGAAGGAAGCAGAGGCACAGAGCGAACGGTGGTGATGGACAAGTCCAAGGGCGAGCCTGTCATCAGCGTGAAGACCACCAGCAGGTCCAAGGAGAGGGTGAGCTCTGGGAGTGGGATTTTCTTCGTCTTGTCTCCTTCCTTCCTGTCTGTCTTTCTGTCTGTCTTTTGGCACTTGTGTGCAGAACATGCTGAGCTACATCCCCTGCCCCTTTTTTGAGATCGGGGTCTCACCGATGTCCCCAGGCCGGGCTCTGCCTCCCAGTCCTGCCTCCCCTCCCAGGAGTGCGGAGATGAGGTGTGCAGCACTGGGCTTGGCCCGTGGGCAGCTCCTCGGCTCGTGTGCACAGCTCGCTTCCCGGGCTGGCCCCCGGAGGGGCTGTCCCCAGGCAGAGCCAGGTCCCTCGCCCCTCCCGGGTGACCTGTACCGGATGCTGGGTTAGCCAGAGTGAGCCTGGCCCTGGACGGTGTCGTAAGGTACTGTGTTTCTCTGTTGAGCCCGCAGCCAGACAAAACAGCATTCACTCAAACTTTACCCACTTGAAAATAGTACACCCAAGCCAGGCATAGTGGCACACACCCATAATCCACTTGGGAGGCTGAGGCAGGAGGATGGCCGCAGTGTGTGCTGGGCCACGTGGGACAAGCACAGTCTGCCCAGAGCTGCACTTTGATCCTCAGTGGTCTGCTTGCAGTCAGTTTCTCTTTGAAGTTTTTTTCTTTTTTTAAGTAAATGTATTTTTTTAACTGCTGAGTTTTATTTAAGTAAAAATTGATCTAGGTGCGTGGGTGAACATCTTTCTTCCCAGTTGCTTGGGAGGCTGAGGCAGGAGAATCAAAAGTTTGAAGCCAACTAGGACTACTTTGTGGGCCACTGTCTCGAGCTAAAAACAACCAGCTAGGTACCGGCAGGCCATCCGTGGGCTGCGCAGGGCGCGGGGCCCCTCCTGGCGGCCACCCTCGCCCACAGAGCCCCCCGACTTCTCCTGGGCCCATGCTTGCCCCTGGGAGCGCGTGTCTTTCCCACCTGTGACCGAAGTAAAACCTTGCTGCTCCAAGCAAGTGGGGTCCGGTGTAGCCCTCGCCTCAGACGTTCAGCATTTCGCGGGGTGAAAACTTTAGAACCCCAGGTCCTGCAACGTCCGTGTGTTGCTGTTACGTGCGGCGCTGTAACCTATCGCTGCTTCTGATGCACAGAGCTCCAAGAGCCAGGACCGCAAATCGGAAAGCAAGGAGAAGAGAGACATCCTGTCATTCGACAAAATAAAAGAGCAGAGAGAGCGAGAGCGGCAGCGGCAGCGGG